GGGGGGGTGGATATGAAATTGAATGACCCTCATAGAACTAGCTGACAGTCAGCACAATCGAACTCATGATCAGTAATTGAGTTCGATTGCGTTCGGTGGAAACACCAATACACGCTACTTATTTTACCACAGAAATAACTTACTAAAATTTGCGATGATCGTGGGATGTTTTTCGTTTTGTTCTCTGACGTAAATAGCAATTCCAGGATTCTTCCTTGCAAAATCCACGATGTTCTTGTCAATGTACTCCCTGAAATCAAACTACGTGCGCGTGAATATCAGAGCTTAACTCGCTACTTTGCGATCAAATATTCGATTTAATAATTACCTAATTCCTCTACTGCTCCCTCCAGTTTTACAGTAGTTGAAAGTGAGCCGCTGTAATGGTCGAACATAGCGGCCTAATACTCTATTTGCTACGTTAACCTGCGCCATTTTGAAATTAGGTCCCAAGTCTTTCGGGGTTACGTACTTCATATAACGGTCATATACGGTACATTGTAATTTTCTTCTCTACACTCGTTGTGCGGAATATATCAGTCGGAGGCTTTCGGGTCAAAATTGTAAATTTTTTAAGTTTCTTTTGTCTCGTAATTCCCAGAAGAGACTTGGATACAAAGAAAACAAAACCAAATATATAAGTTTGTCCCGAAAGCCTCGAAGCTATGATAAAATACTGATATATCGAACGTGGCCTATTGTAGACCTTAGTAGATTACAATTACCAGGGCCTTGGCCAGAAACAAATTATGACTGAGGCAGTGTCCAAGAAATGAGTTGTGACTGAGGCAATGTCCATGGTTTAATTCTCTTCCTGGGAATTTAGGGTGTCTTTGATGACTTTAAACAACAAAAACGAAAAAAAATGACTGAGACAAGTGCCTCGGTTTGCCTGTTACTAGCGACGGCCCTGAATACTGAGAACTCCCGGCTCGGAATTGAACGATTTTAGATCGGCGAATAGGTATTCTATATTCTCCACGACTTTTTAATGAAAATCTCTACCTTAGGATGCTTCAGGCAAGAGTCTTTTTTTAATAAGGATTTCTACAGCCTACAGAAAAATCAAATGCACTGGAGTGTCTTGTTCATTCTGATTCAGTTGTAGCTTGGACACTTTCTGCTTCCAGAAATTTCAAATTTTTCATGATTCGCGTATTTGCGCGAGCGGTTTGTACAACTCGAGGACGCGAAAGACCCGAAATCGTTACTTTTTGAAATGCCTGTTTCACAACAAAGCGCGTGACAATAGTAAACTGCTACATGTAGCTATTGGGAGCCAGCATTGTGGCCCCTGTCGGACTAAATTTCAGAGAAAGAATTAAGGCAGGTACTCTTTTTATTCTTTTGCTTTTATAATGACACCGTGAAAAAAACATTTGAGAGAGCCAAGTGACACTTTTTCTAGTCGCTTCCGCTTGCAACTAGAGCAATAGCCAAGATACTCCCTAACCAGACTTTGCTTAAAATGAAACAATAGTTTTTAATCTCATTTAATAATAAACAACGCCAATCCCATTTTTAGCTTTTTCTACCTTGTTAATTAGACTTTGCCTTCTCGCGCGCAAAACGTGCTTGGTACCCAGGTTTCTCGCTTCTCTTCGTGACGTTTTCAAACAGTGACGACACAATCAGTTACCATGCGCGTAGCCATAACAACCGATCAGAATGGAAACATTTCCGATTTCGTGTTGAGCGCTTGTTGTAGCACAGTGGAAACATGGGTACTTCGTGGTTATCAAGTACTTCAAGTGGAGTTTTTAACTTCTTACACAAACATATTACAGGTGAAAATGACAGTGTAAGGCCATCCAGCTCTCTGGATGTGTTTTCTAAAGCCAATGTGTGGATTACAGACCTTCCCACAAACAACTACGAACCTCTTGAGGCTTCACATGGGGAGCGGCGGCCGGCCAAAAAGGTGGGCGTTTCCTTTTTCTAGACTTCAATTATCCTTTTGAATTTCTCAGATTATGCCTCCTTCTGCGAAGAGAAATATTCTTTTTTGCCGAGAATCTCGATGTTATCTCGCAAAATGCTAGATATCTAAAAAAATAACTAAATTTGTCGCGCTGTTGGAGTTTTGTCTCCCGTTTTGCTCTCCTGTTCTCCTTTCTCTTTTCAACTCATTCAATTGACTGAGAGTTGACTAATGTATAGGGCATGTTCTCAAATAACAGTATCCACCGTATAAATCGTCGTCTCTTGTTCATGTGCGCAATTTTCTTGTACGGAAGTATGTTTTTAATCGTCTGGAAAGGAAAGGTAAAGCGCGCGCAAGCGCTTCTCAATTATGACGTTAAAATTGTATTCGTTTTGACAAAAGAGATTGAAGTCTTCGCATTAAAGTTTTAATTTTGCGCCAAACACACTTATAGAAAGAGGTCTTTCTCTTTCATTTATTTACTGTTCTATACTTTGCTCCAAAATTTTTTTGACATGTTTTCATCATTATGTATTAAAGCTCGATAAATTTAGACTAGTTTTACTTTCTAGGGTAAGCGAGAACGAGAACTGGAAGAGAAGATTACCGTGCTCAAAGAGCACTGTGATGGTATGATCTTTGCATTTTTTGGAGAATCAAACAATTAAATTTACAATATTTAGAGAGGAAGCCACATCTGCCTTCGCTGGTCATGCAGGTCTTCTGATGCTGATTGGAATTTGGAGATGTTGGTTTTTGTGGAGGGAGGAAAACCGGAGAACCCGGAGAAAAACCCTTGAAGCAAGACAAGAACCAACAACAAACTCAACCCACATATGGCACCGGGCCGGAATCAAACCAGGGCCACATTGGTGGGGGGCGTGCTCTCTCGCCACTTGGCCATCCCTGCTCCCTACTTCATCGCATCTCATCAAACAACCAGTTTCCATTATCCATAACGTAAATCTAATTCGTTCCTGGAAACTCAGGTGCTAGTCTTTATATTCATGTTATTCAATACCCCCCTGGTAATTTTCGTTTGTACTTCATCCCCACCCAGCGAAAAACCAAGAAATTGCATGCCTTGAAGAAAAAGTGTCGCAGTTGCGAGAAGGTGAACACAAAAAGGAGAGTGATTTCGCACAGAAAATGCAAGAGAAAGAGCAAGAGATAAAGAATGCAAAGAAGGATATTTTGGCGACAAAAAGAAACTGTCTCGACAAGGAATCAGAAATAAAAGAACTTGGCAAGGAGCTTAACTCGATGAAAGGTAAGCTGTGTGTCGGATCACCCGGCTTCAAATATGATATGAGATACACGTTTTCTCGCTATAAACGTAAACGTAAACGGTCTTCTTGGAAACGACTGCGGTATATCCCCACAAAATTCCGGGACATATTTACATTAATCACTGACTGATTGACTTACTTAATCACTGGACGTATTGCATTCTTTGAATTTTATATTTGTTTCCAGATAAATTTGCAAAATGTCGCAAACCAGACGAATCCCTTTGCAGTCAAGTTTCGGAACTAAAGAAGATTTTGGTGAGAAGAGAAGAAATAAACATGAAACAAAAACAGCTTTTCAGAATGTTAGCTGCCGATGTTCAGAAGAAACTGGACAAAGCTTCTGTAGATACGAGAAACCTCTCTGAAGAGCTAAAGAACCTCAAAGGTAATATTAGCAATCAACAAAACACTTCCAAATCTGATTCAGAGTATCAAGGAAACATCGAGTTTCCAATTAAAAGTAAGTTCGTACGATCGGGACTTACATTTTTAAGTGCTTTTCTAATTTCTTTCTTAATTTTATTTTCTGTAGCAGAGAATACTGACCTGATAATGCTAATCAGCTCGCTTCAAAGTCGGGAGAAAGAGTTGCAGTGGCAACTGAATGAAAGCAACGAGAAAAAACAACAACAACTTGTTTACATCACTGAGTTGGAAACAACCCTGGTGGATACTGACAGAATATTAAAGAAACTGTCAGACGACATCCTGAAGAAGGAACAAGAGTTTAAAACTTGTAAAGGTAGGCAGCTCGCATTGACAATTTTTCTTTGAGGCTAAAACTCAGAATTGGACCATATAATTTCATTTGGTAAGGTATGTCAGGACCTACAGCAGCGTCGGAACACTGTACGTTGTGAAGTTTTGCTTTTTAGTGGTCTGTCAAAAATTTCTGTGAATGTAATTTTACGTTGAATGCGCTGTTGGATATGCATATTAAGTTATGTTCAGGAAAAGCTGATTTCATTTCACTGACCCAGCTTTAAGCTAAAAGACAAAGAAGGCCACTTACCGCAATCTTTACCCGGAGAAGGAAATTCACAGTGCGTAAGAGAAAGTTGTTTGAACAGGATAGATAAGAAGGAAAATGTATATAGCGGCTTAAAATATTTTCCTTCTTAAAATTGTGTGGATGAAACATCGGCGATGTTTCATCCGGCGATGTTTCATCCGGCGATGTTTCATCCACGCAATTCTTGGATTCATTTTAGAACGTGAAATCAGCTTGGAAGTGACGAACGCCACGCTAAAGCAGCAACATAAAGAGCTACAGGAGAAGCTGGAAAACATGGCCAACACACGAACAGTGGAGTTAGCGAAGATTGAGAAGGTGCTTGGGGAAAAATTACAGCAAATTGTTGAATTGACTGCCAGGAATACGGAGTTGGAGAAGGAAGTCAAAAAGAAAGAGGAGAAAAGTACAGGGCGTGAGAACTGTGAAGGTGCATAACGTTTTTGATCATGCAGTTTTGTAAATTTGCAGGTATAAAACAAATTGCAAATAGGCTTTCAAAAAAAAACTCACTGTCGACAGTATGAAACGGCAGAAAAGTTGTGTAGATTTTAACCTACAGTATTGTGAAAAATTATGGAAAACGGAACGCTAAAGGACAATCTTTTTACACTAAACTTATAGCTCGTGTGACCATTTCAGAGCGAAAGAAAGAATTCAACAAGATAAACTCCTTGAAAGATCAATTGAAAGAACTACAAGAGAAGCTGGACGATACAGCCAACACTCAAACAGCGGAGAGGGCAGCCATCGACAAGCTGCTTACCACTGAAAAATCACAGCAAATTGTTGAACTGAGTTGCCATCTTAATGCCAGGAATGTTGAGTTGGAGAGGGAAGTCAAAGAGAAAGAGAGTTTAACCACAGCGCTTGATACCACTAAGGGTAAGATTTTCTTCTGAGGAAATTTGGACCTCTTGATCGCAAAGAAAAGGCCATGTAATTGTAACTGGTGTTTTTAAATGGCAATCGCATGTTCAAAAGTAACACGAACCTTTTATCTGACGCTTAAAACAAAATAAAACAGGCAAATCATAATTCACATTACGAAACAACACGAAATTTGTTTAGACTATAATAACTGCAGAATTGAAAATCGAAAAATTGACAACGAGAAAAGACAACCCAGTTTTGTCATTGAACTTATAATAAGCTCTTGTGGAAATATTTCAGAACAAAAGAAAAACCTGGTAAGGATCACTGACTCCTCACTGAAACATCAACTTGAAGAATTTCAAGAGAGGCTGGACGATACAACCAAAGTCTACCCGCAGAAAAGAGGGCGGGTCGCTCTGGAGCAGGCAAACATATCTCAGCAGATTGTTGATTTGCAAGACCAAATGAGTTACAGTAATGCTACGTTGCAGAACGTGGACGCTGAAGAAAAGAAAAAGGAGGCGCTTCTGGAGAATTCTAAAGGTATAGATTATGTTCAATGTCAGTTAAAGGCATTGTAATAATACTATCTTGTTATAGTGTCCTAAATTTCTTGGTAAGTAAGTTGGTGAATTTACCATCATCTTTATTTGTTTATTGACAGAGGAAAAAGAGAAGCTCGAACATGCATGCAGCTCTTTGAACAAGACAACAAGTGTGGAAACTGCAGATGTTTCAGAACTTCCCACAGATGTCGTGAAAACGTTTAACGGTATGAGTGATTTATAAGTGTAATTCATACATGCATAGCCGGTCTATGATTCGTTAATGACATGCACGCATCTTCTCTCGGCGCGCATGACAAATTGTTTCGCTTATTACTCGCCGAAAAATGCGCACCCGGATGTGGAAAAGTTCTGCTCACGGCGGTCTCTGATTGGAGGAGAAGCTTGGAAAACCAACAAAAGGATGCACGTGCAGTTTTTGTTGTTTTGGTCACGGCTAAAAATTTTAAGG